TTGAAACTATACTACCCTTTTACTTTGCCATACATGGAAATCCCCCCACTGGTAATGTTTCACTGTGAATGTTTAAGTAAAAAGTTACTAGTTTTACACTCTTATCGTGAGACTGGGAGATTTTATCTCCCCCTTGTACCCTTACCACGCAACATGACGCTATAAATGTAACACCACAGCGTTCATTTCACGCAACAACGCTCCCAGCGCCTGGCCTGCCACAGCCAACCAACCCCCTCCCCCCCACCCCCAACCAAACTTCCCAGTGAACGATTTTTGTTTACTCAGCGTAGCAAAAACGATCACGCTATCTAGGTCGCCTTACCCAACCAACCCCCACCCACCACCCCCCCCCCACTGACCCACCACCGCTCCCCTCTTATAAATTTGTCCTTTTATGTAATTCAAATACGTTCAAGATATTTGATTTAACGATCATCTCTGTACATTACCTACTCAAATTAATTAATAAGTTTGTTTTGAAGTTTAACTAGTTTAAAATTTTGATTAAAAAAAAAAAAAAAAAAAAAAAAAAAAAAAATGAAGACTGTTTGCAGATAATAGGTACAAATGGAAAGTGTGAATGCAAATGACTACCTATTGTACATAATATATCATGTTTTTGTATACTTCAGACATAACTATGTGTACTTCTCCCCTCTTTTAGGAAGCCTAGACAAATCTTTGAAGCCAATGTTGTTAATATAAAGTTTACTACAACTCATCACTTTTATTTATCATAGACAAATATTGTCCCCTTTTCAACTTTATTATTTAGAAATGGCAACTACCCTTTGTACATAACATACCATGTTTTTCCTGTATACTTCATATATAACTATTTGTACTTCCCCCCCCCCCCCCCCCCCTTTAGGAAGCCTAGACCAACCTTCGAAGCCAAATTTTGTTAATATAAAGTTTACCATAACTCAGCACTTTTATTTATTATAGCCAAATATTGCCCCAATTATAACTTTAATTTTCAAAAATAGCAAAGTACTTTTGGCCCATGAAATAACCCCCCCCCCTATAAAATACACATTTTATTCTGTAAATAACATGTAAAAATTTTTGAGAATGAAAGTTTCAGGAATAGTGTATATTGTAAATCTGCACCAGTCTTCTTATGTCGCATGATGAACGTAGTAAAAATCAGCTACTGCCACCACTCATTGGCTGGGCGCGCTGAAAGTCAAATCTACAACACTGAGACGTAAAAAAGAAAAAAGAGAGAAAAAAAAAAGAAAAAAAAAAGAAAAAAAAAAAAAAAAATTAGTGTGAAGTAGTTAGTTTTGCTCAGGTCTATTAGACCTTCCTGTTCCAACGGATTTGAAAAATAATACCATCACATCTCTCTTCCCATCAGGGATCCCCTAACACAAAGAGGCGCTATTATAATTAGGTGGTCGTTCATAACTGACTGGAGGGGCGGGAGGTTTTTCCAAAAGAGTGACGTAAAGCTTTTGCAATAATGTTAGAAACTAAATTTAACCTTGTTTTCGAAATCTGAGTTATTTTTAATGTAATCAAAGCAGTCTATATATTTATTAGATTATGTTTCTCTTTTAGAAGTGTAACGATACATTTATATTTAACGTACTACTAATCTTTAAATTTAGACTTAGTCTTAATTAATTTCTAGCCCATCCAAGTTTATTGTAGAATTTCGATGGACAAAGGGAAACAACCACGTTAATATTGTTCTGTAAAATAATCCAAGCCTGGTAATTTCCCCCGATGTTAAAAATTCAATAATATTCCTTATGATTCTGATAAGCATTTTTTGGTTTATTTTTCACAGAAACCCTACCAGAAGTGTTCTCAACAGCTTTCTAAATTTCATGGTGATATTGGCACGTTGGTCAAGACCCAGTGACAATGCAATCTGACATGAAATTATACTTAATTGGATGCTTAATTAATCTTTAAAGAATTAATTAAATATATATATCTATAATATAAGCGGGCTGAGCGTGTCCTTCCTTCCTTCCGTCCGTCATCGCTATAGATTTTGGGACTATAAAAATAAACTGCGCACCACGCTGTGCTTTTCAGTGCACCGCAGTGTCTTATTATAAGTATTAGAGTAGGGTTTGTTTATATAGCGGCATAGAGCTATTTTATAATTGCCACGGTTTTTACTCTTTCGCATAACGTCAAGAAAATATTAAATACACGCAAACTGCTAAAACGTTTTAAAAAGATTAATGTCAAATATCATTTTAGTTTATATTCCTAGAAAAAAATGGATACATTTCCATAAAAGTAGGTCGAAAAAGCTAATTAATTCCACTTTTTTTTTGTGGTAATTGTTTCAAGGGAGGTAATTTGAAAATATATTTAACTCAACAATAATTTAAGTTAATCTTTTTTTTATTACTACCGCATTGATTAGTCTATGTTAAGGTTATAATTAAAAGAGAAAAATGTTAAGATTATTTATATTATTTTCTAATTAGTCTGTGATTTCTCAAAATCACTATTTTTTGTGTTTTTTTTTGGTGCTAACAGATGGTGAAATTTTATAATTATAATATAGAGAATGGTGGAAAGACTCTCTCTGGGCGCGGACGCCTGGGAAAAGCGTGATTTTCGGTGGTAATTCTAATTACATTGCCAATGTGTTTTCTTAGAACCATAAAAGTAAACACCACTTGCCGTACATTCATTTGCATCGCATTGTTTTATTGTAAGTTATGGAGTAGGATCTATTTATGTGACTTAAATTTTTAATGTTGGAAAGGGTCTCTTTGGGCGCGGACGCCTAAAAAGCGTGTTGTTTGGTGGTGATTCTAATGTTGTGGTTGTATTGTGGTTGTTTTTTGGTTGTGTTGTGGTTGTGTTGTGGCTGTGTTGTGGTTGTGTTTTTGTTGTGGTTGTGTTTTTGTTTTTGTTGTGGTTGTGTTGTAGTTGTGTTGTGTTGTGTTTGTGTTGTGTTGTGGTTGTGTTGTGTTGTGTTTGTGTTGTGGTTGTGTTGTGGTTGTGTTGTGGTTGTGTTGTGTTTGTGGTTGTGTTTTTTGTGTTTGTGTTGTTTTTGTTTGTTTTGTTCTGTTCCAAAGTTGGTACATTTAAAAATGATTTACCGTGGCGGAGCACGGGATGCAGCTAGTATATATATATATATATATATATATATATATATATATATATATATATATATATATATATATATATATATATATATATATATATATATGTCGTTGAACTCACATGAATTGATTATTCAACTTAAAACATTGTTTAATAGAGTACTTGAATACACAGAGTACATATAAATATGTCCATGGTTGAAATAAATACATAAATTATATCCAAGAGCCAAAACACAACATTAGGAAAATACAGTTTGACCACTTTACTAATAATACCCAAAAGTAGCGTTCGTTGAGAAAATTTATTTTTCGATATATAAGAAGGCCATTTAAGATCAGCTTTCAGTGACTTTCACCCACTCGCCCACCTCATAGTGTTCAGTAATCAAATGGAAAATATTCCATTGGTATAATTTTAATTTCAGTCCATGTTTGAGGGCCTCAAAGATAAATGACAATGCATAACTGTTGTAAAACACATGTTGGTAAAGTGAATGAAATAGTAGTGGATTAGACATAGAAAAAATAATAACTAATAAAACATGCAAAGCATATTTGATTATTAAATGTTAAAATCAAGGAAAACTAAAATATAATCAATATATCAATCTTACGCTTTCACACTTTGTCACACAATTACAGAAACTTGTCACCTCTAGTCTAACAGTACCTTAATGATTAATTGCTCACTCTATTACTATATATATATATATATATATATATATATATATATATATATATATATATATATACATAATTGGTATATGTATGTACAATTGTAGCCTATATATAAAAAGTTTTGACGTTTTAAATTGTTCACATTTTTAAAAAAAATAGATTTAAATAAATTATAACAAGTATAATAATACAAAGAAATACATGAAATTATATCAGAGGACCAGCGGTTGTATGATTTAAAAAAAAACACTTGTATGAATATTACATGAACATGCTTGTCCATAGCATGTATATCTGAAACTGCATTGTAAGATATTTATTTTGCAACAATAAAGTCATCAAACCTGCTACAGCGTAGAAGACATTGTTTCTTCATTGTTTTATATAGGTATATATATATATATATATATATATATATATATATATATATATATATATATATATATATATATATATATTTTCATACATATATATATATATATAAATATATATATATCCAACAAGATAATCGTAAATAATGTGCTGTGATGATTTATGACATCCATTCTTTCCTTGAAGTGCTTTTTCTCTTGTGTGACTATTTAGGATTTGTTGTTGCGTAATTTAACAAAATTAATTTTTTAACCTTGCATTAACTGCATTCTTAGTGGAATCATACAAATGGACAACAGGCTGATGTTTCAAATGTTTCCAAGAAAAAATCCTCACAATTTTTAAACAAGTTAAAAAAAAAACAATGTATCTGCTAATTTTTAAAATGAAATGTTTAGATAGCCAATACATTTGTAGGCCTATTATTCTCTATGACAAATAATAGAATAAGGATTATATCCTGTATAAAACACCTAATGACAGTGAGAACTTTTTAAATGACAAACATCGAAGTCATATTTTCTGTCTTCACATTGTTACCTCATTGCAAAACTCATCATTTTATCATAAAGATTAGTGATCCTTGTGAACAAGAATTTTATAACCAACATCAAATGGAGGTGGCTAATTTCCTGAATGACACTTCTGATGATGAGATAGAGAAGATTTCCTAGAAAACTTTTTATGACAAACATCACATTCATGTGGCTTAAGCCCAGAATGAGTCATTTGATGTTGAGATAACAGGTATATATATATATATATATATATATATATATATATATATATATATATATATATATATATATATATATATATATATATATATATATATATATATATAAGGATTGTCGTTGAATTCACATTACTTGATTATTCAACTTAAAACATTGTTTAATAGAGTACTTGAATACACAGAGTACATATAAATATATCCATGGTTGAAATAAATACATATATTATATCCAAGAGCCAAAACACAACATTAGGAAAATACAGTTTGACCACTTTACCAATAATACCCAAAAGCGGCGTTCATCGAGAAAATTTATTTTTTGATATAACAAGGCGCTGGCCATTTAAGATAAGCTTTCAGTGACTTTCACCCACTCGCCCACTTTATAGTGTTCAGTAATCAAATGAAAAATATTCCAATGGTATAATTTTAATTTCAGTCCATGTTTGAGGGCCACAAAGAAAAGTGACAATGCATAACTGTTGTAAAACACATGTTGGTAAAGTGAATGAAATAGTAGTAGATTAGAGATAGAAAAAATAATAACTAATAAAACATGCAAAGCATATTTGATTAATAAACGTTAAAATCAAGGAAAATTAAAATATAATCAATATATCAGTCTTACGCTTTCACACTTTTACAGAAACTTGTCACCTCTAGTCTAACAGTACCTTAATAATTAATTGCTCACTCTATTACTATATATATATATATATATATATATATATATATATATATATATATATATATATATATATATATATATATATTTAATTGGTATATATATGTACAATTGTAGCCTATACATAAAAAGTTTTGATGTTTTAAATACATTTAAATAAATAATAAAAAGTATATTAAAAGTATAATAAAAAGTATACTAATAAAAAGGATTAAAGGAAATTATAAAAGAGAAACAGCGGTTGTATGATTTAAAAAAAACCCACTTGTATGAACATAACATAAACATATATGTCCATAACATGTATATCTGAAACTGCATTGTACAAGATTTATTTTAAATCAATAAAGTCATTGAACCTGCCACAGTGTAGAAGACAACATTGTTTCATTGTTTTATATATGTATATGTATATATATATATATATATATATATATATATATATATATATATATATATATATATATATATATATATATATATATATATATATCAAACAAGGTAATCATAACGAATGTGCTGTGATGACTTATGACATTCGTTCTTTCCTTGAAGTGTTTTTTCTCTTGTGTGACTATTTAGGAATTGTTGTTGCATAATTTAACAAAATTAATTTTTCAACCTTGCCTTAACTGCATTCTTAGTGACATCATACAAATGGACAACAGGCTGATGTTTCAAATGTTTACAAGAAAAAATTCTGACAAATTAAACAAGTTTAAAAAAAAACATTGTATCTGCTAATCTTTAAAATGAAATGTTTAGATAGCCAATACATTTGTAGGCCTATTATTCTCTATGACAAATAATCGAATGATGAGGATTATATCCTGTATAAGACACCTAATGACAGTGAGAACTTTTTAAATGTCATATTTTCTGTCTCCACATTGTGACCTCGGTGCAAAACTCATCATTTTATCATAAAGATTAGTGATCCTTGTGAACAAGAATTTTATGACCAACATCAAATGGAGGTGGCTAATTTCCTGAATGACACTTCTAATGTCGAGATAGAGAAGATTTCCTAGAAAACACTTTATGACACACATCACTTATTCATGTAGAACACCTGAATGAGTCTTTTTATGCTCCAATAATTCATCTTTCCGAGTATAGTTTTTATGACAAACATCACATTCATGAAGGCTAAGTGGACCGCCTGAATGAATCTTTTTATGCTCCAATAAATGATCTTTCCGAGAATACTTCTTATGACAAACATCACATTCATGTGGCCTAAGCCCAGTGTGAGTCATTTGATGTCGTGATAAATGGTACCTCTGAACAAACTTTTTATTGCACACATCACATTCATATGACTTATGTCCAGAGTGAATAATTTTGTGTGTATTTAAACTAGATTTATGAGCAAACTTTTTATGACACACATCACATTCAGGAGGCCCAAGTGGACCGCCTAAATGAGTCTTTTTATGCTCCAATAATTGAGCTTTCCAAAAATACTTTTTATGACAAAAATCACATTCATGTGGCTTATGTCCAGAGTGAATAATTTTGTGTTTATTTAAACTAGATTTATAAGCAAACTTTTTATGACACACATCACATTCAGGAGGCATAAGTGAATGAGTCTTTATATGTTCCAATAATTCATCTTTCCGAAAATACTTTTTATGACAAACATCACATTCATGTGGCTTAAGCCCAGAATGAGTCATTTGATGTTGAGATAACTGGTACCTCTGAACAAATGTTTTATGACACACATCACATTCATATAGTTTCTCATGTAAATGAGTTCTTTTATGATTAGATAAATCACATTTAAGATTGAAACGTTTTTGACAAACAACACATTCATATGGCTTGAGATTAGAATGTGTATTTTTATGGTCAGATAAATGACTCTTTGTAGTGAACTTTTTATGACACACATCACATTCATGTGGTTTAACTCCAGCATGAATATATTTGTGTATAATCAAATTATTCTTCTGAGTAAACTTTTTATGACACACATCACATTCATGTGGCTTATGTCCAGAGTGAATGATTTTGTGTGTATACAAACTAGATTTATAAGCAAACTTTTTATGACACACATCACATTCAATGCATCTGTCTTCAGAATGTAATTTATGCTGAGAAAACTTCTTGTTTATTTTCTTAAGATGTTTTACATGACTGTTCATAGCACCTTGTTGCTGATGAATATCATAACCATATGAAATCTTTCTTGTGTGAGTTTTCATATGTTGTGTAATATGATCAAAATGAGTAAATCTTTGACAACACATTTCACACTTATATGTCTTCAGTCCCTTATCACTGAGCTCATACATTGTTGGAAAATTATCAATAACTTCTTTATGCAATTCCTTGAGTTCTTTTAAATCATGATGAAGATCTGATTTTAAAACTGTGAAATTTTCAATAAAAGCATCTGAATCTGGTAAATATTCAAGCTGTCTTTTAACATCTAAGCTATTTTCGTTTTCGCCCTTAAATGTTGAAAATGTTAATATATCCTTTTTCATAACATCACACCTTAAAAATTCTGTTGAAACATTTGGTTTCATATCTTTAGAATAATAAAATGTTTCATCTGACTGTTGATCTTCTGAAGTTGAAAATGCAACTGTTTCGTTTGACTTGTCTTCAAAAGGTGAAGATTGTGATGATATAATTTGTTTGATATTATTTGAAGTTGAAATCAATATTGGTTTCACATCTTCTAAAGTTGCAACTGCCAATGTTACTTCTGATTTTAAATCTATCAATTTTATTGCTTGGTCACTTGATTCCTGTTTAACCACAAGTGCACTTTGCAAAGACATGGCTTATTTTTCCAATCTGTTCTGCATACATTTAAATAGATGGCTAAAAAATAAAATAAAAATAGATTATTTTTTAAAACATTTTTCCCCCTAAAATATCTACATTTTAATACATCTACAAGAATAATATTTAAATAGTTTTCAACTTTCAGTAACTCTCTTCATAAGATATGGAGAGGTCCATTACTTTAGGCCTTAAATTTTTTTAGTTTTAATAAAAAACTCTCTAGAAATTATTTAATACATCAACATAAATAATAATTATTTTTAACTTTTTAGTAACTCTCTTTATTAGATGTGGAGAGGTGAAGTATTTTGGCCTAAGACAAAATTTCGTAATTTTCCTTAAAAAAAATGTTGACACTCTATATGGTATACTTTAAAGTATGAAAACTATAATAAATACCAAGTATCTAGTGATCTAAGGGAAAAAATCCAATGTGCAAGGTTTATTTTGTTTGAACAGTGTTCTAAACAACTTATACTAGGATCTTAAATCTATCGCTTTAGGTCTTAGGTACGTAAAATCGGCAGCGGCTAGTACTGTATGAAAAAGTTACCTAATTGTCAAGGCTTTAATAGAAGTATATTGTGAAATATTTGTGTCAAATATTAGGTCTATAGATAACTGAATAGTAAATCAAAATCAATGGCTAAATATATCAATATGGGCCAGAAATTAACTTTGAACAGCACTGTTTGAGAGCAAGATTTGCAATATAAACAGCAGCCATTTGTAAAATAGAGTGGCTTCGGCTGAATCTTCCCCTAGATTAGATCTAAAAGTTTAACAAAATAAAACTTAAACAAGATGGCTGCTATAGAAAATGAGCATGGTTGCATCTGATGAAAACATCGCTAGTCTTCATTTGACATTTATTAATTTCTGGAAAGTTTTAATTCAATGGTTAAAAAACAGGTACATAATTAAATGAAACAAGGAAACATTTTTGTATAAAATGTGAAATAATTATTAAAATTTAAGGGGAGTCACCTGTTTTTCACATTACTAGTCGTGGGCGAGTTTACGTACCTAAAACGATAGATTTATTATTATTTCAATTTAGGCCTATTTGATCTAAGATGATTCTAAATTATTAAAGGATATTTTAGAATCTAGCTGTTGATAGCAGTTGCAGTGGTCATGTTATATTTTTATGTACTATTATCCAGTCTAGAGTGGTTTCCCATCGTTAGGTCCAGATCTAGTTTAACAAAATTAATTTTTCAATTTTGCACAAATTGCACTCTTAGGACTTAGATCTAGTGGTATCATACATATTATCTACATGCAGATGTTTCAAATGTTTACAAGAAAAATCCTCACAATTTAAACACTTATTTGACTTAACAATTAAAGTCTGAAATTGTGTGGAAATTCACTTTTCTAAATTCAAGACTTTTTCTAGATCTACATCTAGATTCTAGATCTAGAGTCTGCATACGAAGCCTGTTAGTCACTTAGTGTTAAAGTTAAACAATGTGTTGTGTACTGTGTAGATCTAGAAATCTAGATCTAGTTAGAAATCAATGTTTTGCTGAAACACTTAAAAATAACTAGGTATACAAAATTATTAATAAAGCAGTATTTAACACGCAATTAAATAGCCTAAATCTATCCAAATTTAAAACGTTATGTGTTTAAAAAAAAGATAACGCCAAATGCCAACTATTAAATAGATCTAGATCTAGTATGGTTTACACTCCTTACAGTACTTCCGGTGGATTCCGGAACTGTGAGACTGATGTTTCCATTGATTTACTGTTTTTTTAATGATATAGATCTAGATTCTAGATGTCATGATCTAGATCTACCATTCCGGAATAATAGCCGACACTAAACTACGGTTTGGTAAAACCTTAGTTTAGCGTCGGTTATTATTCCAGAATCGTATAGCAGTAAAAAACAGTAAAACAATGACAAAGTCTGTCACACACTTCCGGAATTCACCGGAAGTACTGTAAACAATGCTTTATTTGGCGTCATCTTTTATTTTTATACAGAATGTTTAAAATTTGGATAGATTTATTTTTGTAATAATGTTTACATTTTGTAATCATTTTTACTATTTTTGTAATCTAGATTTTTTTACTTTGCCTAGCAGCTAGATATCTAGCTAGAACTAGATCTAATTAATTAATGGTCGCAAATCCGCTGCAAGCCAAATACATTAAATTATTACATTTGACTTCATTATTTATATTTATATTAATATATGTTTTTATTTTATTTTTAGATCTACTAATTTAAATCTACTATTATATTTATTCTTGTTTCCTTTAGTCGATTAAACTTAAAAAATTAAAACATTAATTTACTACAAACGACTTTCAATTTATTTATATTTCAATGGTCAAATAAACCATGGTTTACCGTAACTCTAGTTACCGAAACTCAACAAACATTACCAGATAATTTCCGACGCTAAGCTAAGGTTTTACCTAAGGTTTTACCAAATTTTAACCGTTATTCATAAAATGGTTAGTTTTGTTAATTTTTTTTTCGTGTGTGACGCAATTGCTAAATCTGAAAAATATATTAAAAATAAACCGGGAGTGATCTCCCCTAAACTTTCTAGAATTTTCTTATATAAAACAACAGGGGATAGGAACTCGGGATATGGATATGATTTTTAATCCATTTAAAATACTTAAACTTTTAAAAATAGAATAAAATCTCGTAGAAAAAAGAATTGCACACCAAGTGTACGCCAAATTAAATGTGCATAATAGTGCGCAATATTATTAGTACTTTATAAATTTACATTAGTTTTTTTTTTTTTTGAGGAATTGGAAATAGCGTAAATTACTACTTCCGGTCAACGGAAATTACTCAAAATTTGTCAGAAGGTAGGGGATTAGAACTTTTACATACATGTAACATTTCATTTATCTATCTGAAATGGTACTTAAGTTATAGGCTTTTGAAAAATTCAAAGTAAAAAAAGACCACTTCCGATTATCGAAAATTGCTCAAAAGTTGATACGGATCTACGATTTTGATATAATGCTTATATATGAAATTTCATCAACCTAGCTGTAACGGTACTCAAGTTATGTGATGTTTGTGTAACAATCTACATGTGGCCATTCGTTGCTGGCCGTTGGGGGTAATTTAGGAATTAATATTAGCGTTTAAGTTTATGCGATTAATAAGTCGAAAGACATACTCCGACACGTGGCCTATATTTCTGTTTACTAAATCGCTTGCTTTTCAAATGTTAGCTGGTTATTTTAATCAAATGTTAGCTAGTTATTTTAATGAGTTGTCACTTTTTGCTTGTGTTTTTGTAGTTGTATTTTTGGTAGTAGCTGGCTCGGGGTAATGTTTCCCCCACCCTTAAACTACAGGTTGGCGCCCCGTTCTCACGGCGTGTCACAGGTAATTTATGAGCGTTCGCAGTCGAGGACTGCGACTGGAGGTTAGCTTGACCGGACCCTAGGTGTGAGCAGGCTTTTGTGTTCGTTTTTATAGCCTGTACAGCCTAAAAACTGTCATCCTAGTTGATAGGAGAAGGGCCATTACCTGGGTCAGATCAAGTTCAGCAGGCTAGCCTATAAATGAGGAAGGGTGGCTGTGGTAAGGTTTCTTACCACACATAGCTGGTGCGAGATACGATGGTCTAGGCCTCGGATGGTGGCAGCCTTATGGCTGGCCGTGAAGGTTGTCTTAGTACAGCTGATGTTTGATTTCTGTGTCCTGGTGTTTACACCAGCGGCCAATGTCTCGTTCCAGTGGCCCAATGTCTCGTTCTAGTGGCCCGATATTATGCTGATGGCTCGTTCTAGTGGCCCGATATTATGCTCATGGCCCATTGTCTCGTTCCAGTGGCCCAATGTCTAGTTCCAGTGGCCCCATGTTAAACTCGTGACCTGATGTCTCGGACGGATATGTTGCCCTTGTGGCCGGGGAATCGCCTTGCCTTTTGTGTGTGACGAACTAGATCGTGTAGAGCACTCGTGTAAATTTATGAAAGAATGTAATTGTGTTTGTATCAAGTTCTCAAAGGAGGATACCTTGATATGCGAAATTCGGACAGGGCTTCATTGTATTGTTTTCATTGTATCTAAGCATGTAAGTTTGAATTTGGTGTCATTTTTGACTTGTATTAGGAATTCAGGTGATGTTTTCTTGAATATGAAAGACTGGCCAGGTCTTGTGTTGTTTCTTTTGCTTTTAACATATATATCTTTGTGGCGTCAAATGAAGATAAATAAATGTATTAACTGTGTATTACTTAGTTTTAGTTAATATTAATGTTGTATTAGTGTGAAGTAGTTAGTTTTGCTCAGGTCTATTAGACCTTCCTGTTCCAACGGAATTGAAAAATAATACCATCACCATCACATCTCTCTTCCCATCAGGGATCCCCCCCCCCCCCCTCCTAACACAAAGAGGCGCTATTATAATTAGGTGGTCGTTCATAACTGACTGGAGGGGCGGGAGGTTTTTCCAAAAGAGTGACGTAACACTTTTGCAATAATGTTAGAAACTAAATTTAACCTTGTTTTCGAAATCTGAGTTATTTTAATGTAATCAAAGCAGTCTATATATTTATTAGATTATGTTTCTTCTTTTAAAAGTGTAACGATACATTTATATTTAACGTATTACTAATCTTTAAATTTAGACTTAGTCTTATCTAATTTCTAGCCCATCCCGGTTTATTGTAGAATTTTTATGGACAAAGGGAAACAACCACGTTAATATTGTTCTGTAAAATAATCCAAGCCTGGTAATTTCCCCCGATGTTAAAAATTAAATATTCCTTATGATTCTGGTAAGCATTTTTTTAGTTTATTTTTCACAGAAACCTTACCAGGATTGTTCTCAACAGCTTACCAAAGTTTCATGGTGATATTGGCATGTTGGTCAAGACCCCATGACAATGCAATCTGACATGAAATTATACTTAATTGGATGCTTAATTAATCTTTAAAGAATTAATTGAATATATATATATATATAGATATATATATAGATATAACTATATAAAAGGATCGTCGGTACGTTGCATTCACGTGACATCAGACTTGATTATTCAACTTAAAACATTGTTTAATAGAGTACTTGAATACACAGAGTACATATGAATATGTCCATGGTCGAAATAAATATATAAATTATATCCAAGAGCCAAAATACAACATTAGGAAAAATACAGTTTGACAACTTTTGATATATATAGCGAGGCCCTGGCCATTTAAGATCAGCTTTCAGTGACTTTCACCCACTCGCCCACTTCATAGTGTTCAGTAAGCAAATGGAAAATATTCCAATGGTATAATTTTAATTTCAGTCCATGTTTGAGGGCCTCAAAGATGAAAAGTGACAATGCATAACTGTTGTAAAACACTTGTTGGTAAAGTGAATGAAATAGTAGTAGATTACAGATAGAAAAAATAATAACTGATAAAACATGCAAAGCTTATTTGATTAATAAACGTTAAAATCAAGGAAAATTAATTTATAATCAATATATCAATCTTACGCTTTCAAACTTTGTCACACAATTACAGAAACTTGTCACCTCTAGTCTAACAGTACCTTACTTGCTCACTATATATATATATATATATATATATATATATATATATATATATATATATATATATATATATATATATATATATATATATATATATATATATATGTATCAAACATGGTAATCGTAAAGAATGTGCTGTGATGATTTATGACTTCATACTTTCCTTGAAGTGTTTTTTCTCTAGTGTGACTTTTTAGGAATTGTTGTTGCATAATTTAACAAAATTAATTTTTCAACCTTGCCTTAACTGCATTCTTAGTGACATCATATAAATGGACAACAGGCTGATGTTTCAAATGTTTACAAAAAAAAAATCCTCACAATTTAAACAAGTTTTAAAAAAAACATTGTATCTGCTAATCTTTAAAATGAAATGTTTAGATAGCCAATACATTTGTAGTCTTATTATTCTCTATGACAAATAATCGAATGATGAGGATTATATCCTGTATAAGACACCTAATGACAGTGAGAACATTTTTAATGACAAACACCAAAGTCATATTTTCTGTCTCCACATTGTGACCTCAGTGCAAAACTCATCATTTTATCACAAAGATTAGTGGTCCTTGTGAACAAGAATTTTATGACCGACATAAATTCAGGTGGCTGATTTCCTGAACAAGACTTCTGATGGGTAGATAGAGAAGATTTCCTAGAAAACACTTTATGACACACAACACATACATGTGGACCGCCTTAATGAGTCTTTTTATGCTCCAATAATTCATCTTTCCGAGTATAGTTTTTATGACAAACATCACATTCATGTGGCCTGAGCCCAGAATGAGACTTTTTATGAAAACATAAACCCGACTTATTAGCATACTTTTTATGACACACATCACATTCATGAAGGCTAAGTGGACTGCCTGAATGAATCTTTTTATGCTCCAATAAATGATCTTTCCGAGAATACTTTTTATGACACACATCACATTCATGTGGCCTAAGCCCAGTGTGAGTCATTTGATGTCGTGATAACTGGTACCTCTGAACAAACTTTTTATGACACACATCACATTCATATGGTTTCTCTTGTAAATGAGTTTTTTTATGCTGAGATAAATCACATTTACGATTGAAACACTTTTGACAAACATCACATTCATACGGCTTGAGATTCGAATGTGTATTTTTATGGTTAGATAAATAACTCTTCGTAGTGAACTTTTTATGACACACATCACATTCATATGGTTTCTCATGTAAACAAGTTTTTTTATGCTGAGATAAATGTTTAAGATTAAAACGTTTCTGACAAACATCACATTCATATGGCTTGAGATTTGGATGTGTATTTTTATGGTCAGATAAATAACTCTTCATAGTGAACTTTTTATGACACACATCACATTCATATGGTTTCTCATGTAAATGAGTTTTTTTATGCTGAGATAAATGATGTTTAAGATTAAAACGTTTCTGACAAACATCACATTCATATGGCTTGAGATTCGAATGTGTACTTTTATGGACAGATAAATGACTCTTCGTAGTGAACTTTTTATGACACACATCACATTCATGTCTATTGTCTCCTGCATGAATCTTTTCATGTAAAGATAAATAACTTCGCCTACTAAACTTTTTATGGCACACATCACATTCATATGGCTTATGTCCAGAGTGAATCATTTTGTGTGTATTTAAACACGATTTATGAGCAAACTTTTTATGACACACATCACATTCAGGAGGCCCAAGTGGACCATCTGAATGAGTCTTTTTATGCTCCAATAAATGATTTTTCCGAGAATACTTTTTATGACACACATCACATTCATGTGGCTTAAGCCCAGAATGAGTCATTTGATGTCGAGATAACTGGTACCTCTGAGCAAAGTTTTTATGACACACATAACATTCATATTGTTTCTCATGTAAATGAGTTTTTTTATGCTGAGATAAATGACATTTAAGATTGAAACGTTTTTGACAAACATCACATTCATATGGCTTGAGATTAGAATGTGTATTTTTATGGACAGATAAATAACTCTTTATAGTGATTTTTTTATGGCACACATCACATTCAAATGGCTTATGTCCAGAGTGAATAATTTTGTGTGTATTTAAACTAGATTTATGAGCAAACTTTTTATGACACACATCACATTCATTGCATCTGTCTTCAGGATGTAACTTCTTGTGTTTTTTTTTCATAGCACCTTGTTGCTGATGAAAATTATACCCATATAAATTCTTTCTTGTGTGAGTTTTCATATGTTGTGTAATATGATAAAAATGAGTAAATCTTTGACAACACATATCACACTTATACGTCTTCAGTCCTTTATCTCTGAGCTCATACATTGTTGGAAAATTATCAATAACTTCTTTATGCAATTCCTTGAGTTCTTTTAAATCATGATGAAGATCTGATTTTACAACTGTAAAATTTTCAATAAAAGCATCTGAATCTGGTAAATATTCAAGCTGTCTTTGAACATCTAAGCTATTTTTGTTTTCACCCTTAAATGATGAAAATGTTAAGATATCCTTTTTCATAACATCACACCTTAAAACTTCTGTTGAAACATTTGGTTTCATATCTTTAGAATAAGAAGATGTTTGATCTGAATGTTGATCTTCTGTAGTTGAAAATGAAACTGTTTCATTTGTCCTGCCTTGTAAAGGTGAAGATTGTGATGACATATTTTGTTTGATAACATTTGAAGTTGAAATCAATGTTGATAAATTTGGTTTCACATCTTCTAAAGTTAAAATTGCCAATGTTACATCTGATTTTAAATCCATAGATTGTATTGCTTTGTCATTTGATTCCTGTTTAACCACAAGTGCACTTTGTAAAGACATGGCTGATTTTTTCCGTCTGTTCTGCATAAATTTAAATAGATGGCTAAAAAAGAGAAAATAAAAATAGACATGATCAGAAAAACAAAATTATTTTTTGAAACACTTTTTCCCCCTAAAATATCTACATTTTAATACATCAACAAGAATAATATTCAAAAAGTTTTCAACTTTTAGTAACCCTCTTAGGACGATGTAGAATGGTCAATTACTTTAGGCCTAAAACTAAATTTTATTTTATTTAAACTCAATAATATTCCTTAAACAAATGTTGATACTCTGTATAGTATACTTTCAAGTATTAAGTAGTGCAGAAACGCAATGGATCTGTTTATACTATTTAATTAAATACATCAAAATGCTAGCAGATCCACAATAAAAAAAGAGCCATAAATTTTTTTTTTTAAATTTCACTTAGGTAATGTGTGGGTAAGCCTAACTAAATGCTGGATCCGGATAAAAATTGAATGATAGCTATACAGTAGGCATAAACAGATTGTTGCGAATCAGCCTTACAAGTTTAGCGACAAACTTTATGGCTAAGTAGAATTACGGTGACCTTCTTCTGTAAATCCCTATCCTCTTACTTACTCTTAGCTATATCCATTCATTAATGAATCAAGTTTTTCTGTTTTTAAGTGCCAAATATATGTGGTCTTTCAAACTTGATAGTACATGGGGCAAGTAAAGTAAAATGATTCTGTGATCTCTGGATATGTTGTAGTGATAGTGTGGTCAGCACTATGCCTAGCTGCCAATACTTTGTATTATTGTTTATATAAAACGCATTGTATGTGTGTGTGGGAGTATGCATTACTACACCTCTCATCCGATCGCCATAAGGCATACTATATGCAGCGGTAATACTGCAACAGGCACAGTCACTGGCGCCCAGGCTATTGCATGAAAAATCGATTAGCTGCTGTTGCTTTTTTTGTTTCTTGTGTTATCTCCCATTTATAGTATTTTCTGTTATTTGCCCCATTAAAAAAAAAGATTTCTTAGCTTCTAATTAATGGTAATTAAGCTAGCAAATTATTTAAGCAATATAAATTATTACTAGATCTAGATCTATGACACTACTATGACTAGATCTATGTAATATGTAATACATATGCGTATGAACTATTATGTATTGTAAAGGCCTACTGATACGCTAAATACTAAATAGTAAATAGGCGGTTATCTATTGTTTTAGGTAAGTAAAATCACACGCGACTAGACGTCGTAATAAATTTTGGTAATCTATCGTTTTAGGTACGTAAAATCGCCCGCGACTAGTAATGTGAAAGACAGGTGACTCCTTGAATTTTAATAATTATTTCACATAATATGTTTTAAAAAATACAAAAATGATTCCTTGTTTCATTTATGTACCTGTTTTTAAACAACTGAATTGAAACTTTTCAGTAATAAATGAAGAGTAGTGATGTTTCCAACAGATGCAACCATGCTCATTTACTATATCAGCCATCTTGTTCAAGTTCTTTTTTGCAAACTTAAAGCGCCAGATTCAGGGGAAGGCAACTCTATTTTACAAATGGCTACTGTTTATAGGCCTATAGGAAATCTTGCTCGCAAACACTGAAAGTTAATTTCTGGTCTATATTGATATATTTACTATTTAGCCATTGATTTAGGTTTATTATTCATTTATCTATAATATTTGACACAAATATATCACAATATACTTCTATTAAAGCCTTGATAGTGAGGCAACTTTTCCGTGCATTTCTAGCCGCGGGCGATTTTACGTACCCAAAACGATAGATTACCTAAATTTTAATAGACTAGATAGTAGATATAGATCTAGATCTAGTAGATCTATATAGTATATATTTCACATTTTCAGGGGGATTTATGTTTTGAAAAATTCAAAAATGTTTCCTTGTTTTATTTATTATGTACCTGTTATAGATTGACGAGGAGCCACATTGGTGTTAACAGCCTTTATTATGTACAGACGCCATGATGCAAAGAGAGAGAGAAGGAAGTGGCCAGAGACAACTATATATAGATAACAACATGTAAGGGACATCACTCAAGATAACAATATAAATATAATACTGTGACCTACTTAGGTCGAGTCATTTTGATTTTGACATTGTATAATTCCTTATATGGAATGATGGTGTAACACCTGGGGTTTTTCCACTGACTTATTAAGGTGTTTGAGACATAGAAATTTTCCATTAAAATCTGATTGAATGATTCTGATCAGATGATTATCCCAACCAATGGCGACATGAGTTGAGGATAACCTCCCCTGTCACAGAAGTCTTTAATTGCACTGCACACTCGCAACACGAGGCAGTTTATCTTGACCTGGCAGTCTACGGGGCAGTTTTACCTTGATCAGGCGGCCGTCCATATTGTCCGGCTATAGACTCTGACCATTTGAACGTGAGAGTACTTAAGACCTGTGTGTGCCTTGCTTTCTTAAGTTGATTTAGTCTTCTAGTTTAATATTACTTGTCGCTAAGTAATTCCTGAAGATATAGCAGTGTTGTGTGGCCTGTGGCTATTATTAGACAGTGTAGAAATCTGTGATAGTGTTTTTTCCTACATCGTGTAAGTTGGGTTTTTGATATTTTATACATTAAATATTTTATCTAGTTTCAACCTTGTGTTTTGCCACTTCTGTGTTCGCTGATTAAAGGTTATATGTAGATTGGATGAGTGTTAATTACAATAGTATCACTAGCTTCCCTAGACATTGATTTCGAGCCCTAGTGTGTCGTTGTGTTAAGTGTTCATCCACTTAGGCCGTAAGGCATTTGCATATGACCCCGAAAAAAGAATCCGGGGACGTTCTCCTTCTATTTGGCTGATAGATCGGTTAACGTTACAAAGTGGGGGCTCGTCCGGGATTTAATCTGTCGTTCCAGTTGTTGGTTATATCAGTTGAATACTAAGGTTAGTTGGATTTAGTTGATTTTATATCCAGTAGCGCAGTGTTCTTACAACGCGCGCTCAGGCTAGAGTATCTAGGTCAAATAAGCAGACGTGTCACGTCCTACATTTAGAGGTCAAGTACACGGCCCAACGCTGTGTATTAATTTAAAGGATCTAGGCTTGTTGTGATTTTCAAGTTAGTGTTATGGAGTCTTTTTTGGCTAATCCTACTGTTGAAGATGTAGAAAAGTTGAGTAGAAAAGTTTTGGTTAGTGTTGTTAAGGAATTGAAATTGGATTATTCTGTTACGCAGAAGTCAGAAGTGTTGAGAGATAAAATTGTTGTTCATTTCATTAATGAAGGGGTATTTGATGAAAGTTTGTTGGCTGGTGTATTACTTCGTGAGGAGAAAGTTGCTTTAGAGAAGGCATTAAAAGAACAGGAGTTAGAGGTTAAAATTGCTTTAGATAGGAGGAGGTTGGAATCAGAATTTGGTAAAGTTAGTGATGTCACTTCTCTGGTAGATCCAAAAAAGTTGTCGGTAGGGCAAGTGATTGCCAAATTTGGGAAATTAGTTCCTAAATTTGATGAAACAGATTTGGTCGTTTTCTTTAACTCGTTTGAGAGTTTAGCGAAGACATGTGAATGGCCCGAAACTTCCATTACTGCTTTATTGAGCTCGGTCCTTACTGGGAAAGCTGCAAAAACATACCAGGCACTCTCTCACGACGTTCAAAATAACTATAGTTTGGTCAAGACTGCCATTTTAAAGGCCTACGCACTGACGCCCGAGGCCTATCGGACAAAATTCCGAACACTCCGCAAGTTACCCACACAATCATATGTGGAATTTCTCTTTGAAAAGGAGAAAATATTCTCAAGGTGGCTACACTCTGAGGAAGTTTCTGAGTTTGAGAAACTCAGGTCACTTATCCTAAGGGAAGAATTCCTATCGTCCCTGCCTGAAGAGATACGACTACACATTCTGGATAACAAGATAACTGACATCCAGAAGGCTGCTGAGTCGGCTGACACATATATGTTGGTGCATAAGAAACCACCAGTGTCAGGAAACCGCCTCAACCCCGTGCTTCCCCTTTTTGGCAGCAATCATCCTGTTGGCCAACATTTGAAGGCATCACAGTCCAGAGAGAAACCAAGATCAACTCTCAATCGTCGAGCAGTATGCCAGTTCTGCAAAAGGTCTGGGCATCTTGTCAAGGACTGTTACAAACGTCTTCAGAATAACAGAGAGGTGGTGCGTACTTCCGCGCACTATGCTCTATCCCCTCAAGCAGCCAGTTCAACTATGAACTCTAGAATTCAAAAGGACTCTAACCCTAAGTGTCCGCAAGAAGGTAGTCAAATCTCCACACATTATGTGCAGTCACATTTTGACTGTTCTCGCCACCATCCAGTTTCTTCCGAGTCTACCGATCTCGAGGGATCGAGAAAAGTTGACTTTTCATCTTTTATTGCCGAAGCCATCATTAGCAAACCAGGTGATCCGTTGTCTCAGAAGAATATCACCGTTCTAAGAGACACAGGAGCGTCACAATCACTCCTTTTGAAAAGTTCAATGGACATTTCACCAGAGACGAACACCGGAAGGATTTCCATTATCCAGGGAGTGGGGACAAAATCTACTGTCGTCCCTCTACACAAGTTTGCCCTGAAACATCATCTCGTCGAAGGTGAGGTCATTTTAGGTGTGATAAATAGTATTCCAGTCCCAGGAGTACACCTACTTCTAGGGAATGACCTTGCGGGAAGCAAAGTATACCCCTGTACGGTTTCAGACCCTTTGTCAACAGTTCCAGATAATGATTATGAACTGTATCCTGCATGTGCGGTGATAAGAAGCCAGACCAAACAATTGGCTGACATCACGTCTGAACCACACCCGCCATCATCGTCAAGAAATTCGACTCCCAAACTGGAGTCTATGCTTCCAGAGAACACAAGTCTGGGCTTACCCCTGAGGATATCTCAGGAAGACATCATTAAAGCTCAACAAGTCGACGCGGAACTCAAAGCAACGGTCGAAAAATCTCTATCATCTGACGATGGAGAATATTTCTCCGAGAACGGCCTCTTCTTTCGTCGCG